GTTTCCTTACTTTCAGCACATGGTTACTTTTAGACACACACAAACATCAAGTAGATCATTTTTCAGGATAACTTTGGTCGGGAAAACAAGCGCCTGTCCGTCGCCGGCGATCGCGTTGCTCCATCGCTTGTCGGTCGGCGAATGTGACGGCGGTTTTAGAAGGAATTTCTGTTCCCCTAGCTTGGGGGAAGGACGGGATATGGCGCCGGGTGTATCATGATAAAGGCGCCAATCTACGAAACATGCCATCTTATTCTTTGCGGTCCTGTTCAAACTTTGATTAAACCCCCACCATGTTCTTAGCCCTTAGAATTTGCACTTAAAGGCGCATTCCGCGACCGAAAAGATAGAATTACTGCGCTAAAAACGGACGTACCTGTAAGCAAAAAGCTGAAAAAATCCTTTAAAATCACAGAGCTCGGATAGGAAGGGCGGGATCTGCACCCCGTCCACACTGTCCCTCATTGGTTAGCGGTTCCTCTACTACGGTAACATATCATAAATTACGATAAAGATGACGCCAGCCAATGAGAGCTATGAAGGGGCGGAGCACAAACCCTACTCTCATGATCAGAGCCCACTGTTATTGAAAGGATTTTAGTACTTTTTTGCTTTCTTCCACCACTTATGGGTCATACACCACAGCTACTTCCTATTGTAGACGGAATAACCTACTTTGATGTAGAATGGTGGAAGGTGTCCTTAAGAACTAAGGTCTTGACAACTTTAAGGGGGCCTGCGATGAGACCAGAGCCCAAAATTTTTCTTTTTCGTATTTCTCATTTGACTTTTTGAAATCACAAAGCGTTCAATAGTTCTCGTGATGGAAGTTTTTCAGGTATAAAAATCAGAGTTGAATGGGATAACGAAGACAAAATGGCATTTATTGATTAATTAATGAAACCATCCAAGCTATATACATTGAAGTGAATAAAGGCTATGCCTGTGGTCAATTACTTCTGAACTAACTACTGTTCCCATGAAAAGTATCAAATCACATTCTGCAAGTTCTGGAGAACACGAATACCATTTTCACGCAAAAGCGCTCAGTTCTGACCAATGTATTCGCATGAGATAACCCTGGTAGGTTTACAGCGGAATCTATGCAGGAACAAACTATCACAGACGAACAACTGGATTCTACGCGCCGAGCCTACTAGCCACTAGTTTTTGTGATGAACAGGCTGAGTCATACACATTCATAGACTCACATATCACATTGATGAAAAACGCACATGATACTTTATTTATTATATTTACAAGCACCGAAAAGGTTTCCCGTCACGCACGGGTACTTCCGTGGACGACCTCGAGGACGCCGAGTCACATTGGACTCCTGAAAATAGCAGCGTTATGATGCAGAAATGTCACAGAATCATCTAGAAACCACATGAAAGAAAGGGCGTGGTACGCGAAACTAGAGAGGTAAGGTGCGAGTGTTGAACACACCACAAAAATCTAGAAACTAAACTTAATAGATTAACATTTTGGTAACCATACGGCCATACTCGAGTTGCGGTTTACTACCAACGTAGGACTTTACACCTCTATATCTGCTTGCAGTTATCAAACTACATGAGAGCCAGTCAGAGCCAGATCCACTCGATCCGCTCTCTTGTTGTTTATTGGCATACAGTACTTCTATGTAAGCGAGTTCGTGCAAATCCACTCATAGTGGGTTCGTTCGCCAGATCATGGGTTCTAAATAACTAGCAGAGAAGGAGCGGTTCCAAAACAAGAGCAATAGCGACTCACTTCTCCTTTAGAAGAGTACTTCTGTACGAATCTCCTCGCTTCTTCTTCGGCGGAAGGATTACTTTGTACACTGAGAGTCTGATAAGCCATCCTTAAAACTTGTTGTTAGTTCGCTGCTCTTCGGAAACGCGTGTTAACATGCGGGCAACCTACCGTCGTACTCCTCGTAATAAATTCTGATCATATCGTGGAACTTTACTTTTGTACAACGCGTCTCGTAGTATATCACCAATCGGAGGACCATCTAAAGCATCACTGATTGATTTTAACGTTAACAAAAAGATAGAGTATAAAGAGAACAGCTGTTAGCTCACCTTCTTTTTGACTTCTACTTTCAAGGTTATGGCATTTAGAATCGATTTGCTCAGTACAATTAGTCATGGGGGTCAAACGATGTGCACACTTACGCTTTTCCAACCAGCCTTAGAGGGAGAAAGGATGGAGAATCGGTACGCGATCTCTTGCCCCTCCACTCCACATCTGTGGTAAGCAGCGCTACTTTATAGCACGCCATCGAAGTATTTCATGTGTATTCCCAGAAAGTACGTAGAACAAAGCATACCTTCCTGTTTCCTGTTTGATTGGACAACTCTTGATGTCCCTTCGCTTGATGTACAACCTCTATCCTCTTCTCTTTGCCTACTGTCCGGTTCCTGTCGTTGTTGTAATGGGTGAAGATGCTCGTCCACTTCCCTCGTAGTCACTTCATCACTTGGAACCACCTTTCGCACCTGACACAGTAACATAACGATAAGAGGTAACATGTTCGGTAATGATCAATCTCTGGGGTATGCGCCACGCATTCAACTTCCATCCACTTTCGTGCAACATGTATTACATCTACAATATGTATAAGCCAGTTGGGTCCCCCAGAAGTTTCGATATATAATTTTGTCTTCTTTAACAAAGTGGTCCTAAGAACTGAACCAGAGGAAGAAGACAGACCACATCAAAAATTGAAGGAAAGCAGCTTTTTGCTTTTGTACCAGTTTCTCCCACTACAAAGTACTATTGTATATTACACTAACCAATCCCTGAGTTAGCTCCAATAGTCGAAAATATTAATCAAACAGTAAACCAAAGGAACTAGCCCAAAAGGCTCATCACAGGTCTAACCTCAAAAGGAGATGACGTACTAAACGTGTAAGTGATATAAGTTATGTAGTATTGCTCTGGCAATGGTGAGCCCCTCCAAAAGTTTTTTGGGAAAAAATGAATGCATCAGCCTCAAGGGGAGGGGGTTCCCTCCACCGTATCCTTCACCAGAAAGTTTCACTAAGAGTAAGAACTTGTGGCACATGTGCTCGAATTCAGCTAGGTCATCTTTTAAAGTAATCAGATACCTTTCCAAGTATGGTACGCCTCACGACAACAATCTGTCCATTGTCACCCCTTCGCACCAAAACCTTTTGTCGAAGCGGAAGACTTTCTTCTAGTCTGAAAATTATAATATCATAATCTCTCCCGAAGCTATGACCGCCCTTTCGAGAAATTACGACAAACACTCACTCATTTTTGGTTTCACGAGCTAAACTGAACGTTTTCTCGTTTGGAACGGCTGCCTGGAAATGCGAAAATGATAGAAGCATTAGATTCATTTGACCATCTTTTTTTGAATGAAAATATAGCGACTCACTTCTCCTTTAGAAGAGTACTTCTGTACGAATCTCCTCGCTTCTTCTTCGGCGGAAGGATTACTTTGCACACTGAGAGTCTGATAAGCCATCCTTAAACTTGTTGTTAGTGGCGAGAAACGCGGTGTTCACACGGGCAAACCTACCGTCGTACTCCTCGTAATAAATTCTGATCATATCGTGGAACTTTACTTTTGTACAACGCGTCTCGTAGTATATCACCAATCGGAGGACCATCTAAAGCATCACTGATTGATTTTAACGTTAACAAAAAGATAGAGAATAAAGAAGCTGGGTTAGCTCACCTCCTTTTTGACTTCTACTTTCAAGGTTATGGCATTTAGAATCGATTTGCTCAGTACAATTAGTCATGGGGGTCAAACGATGTGCACACTTACGCTTTTCCAACCAGCCTTAGAGGGAGAAAGGATGGAGAATCGGTACGCGATCTCTTGCCCCTCCACTCCACATCTGTGGTAAGCAGCGCTACTTTATAGCACGCCATCGAAGTATTCCAAGAAAGTACGTAGAACAAAGCATACCTTCCTGTTTCCTGTTTGATTGGACAACTCTTGATGTCCCTTCGCTTGATGTACAACCTCTA